AGAGGACGAAGAGGACTCTTCCAGATCCAAAAGGCCAGCGTGACCTTGATGTCCGCCATGTAGTGCCATGAGCGCCTCCAAGAACTCCTCGTAGTAGAGACTTTCCCTCACCAGGTAGGCATTGATGTTCTCGTGCCTCTGGCGGCGGTAGTTGAAGTACTGCTGAAGCACCGCAGCTGTGTTAGGAAGCTGCTTGCGCACCAGCGGGGATTGTTCCAGCTTGTTCAAGAGATTCTGCACTCCGTGGGTGCCGGAGAGCTCTTCAAGGCTCCATGACATAGCCAAAAGCCTTGCTGGTCCCGTGAGGCGAGCGACAAGGCGAGCTCCAAGTAGGGACCTTTGGTTCTTCTTTGTTCCCATGGTGTACCAAAGAACTTCTCTCTTTGATACCGGCGCCATCCTCGAGGGTTGCCGTCCCAGGATGGGATGGTCTCAGCCACCTGCTTGCCCTCCATGGAAGAAAATGGCGAAGGCAAGGAAGAGAATCGCCTCTTTGAGCCAGGGTGCAAAATGAAGACCTCGTTGAGGTACAGGAAAAAGTAGCCCTGAACTTGTAATGGATGAAGTCCAGGAAAAAGCTATGGACGTAGTCCCAAAAGGAGAAAGTCCAGGATGTCAAAGTCCTGGATGTAGTGTCACTCAGCCCTGACGTCGCCGTTGATGGCCGACCGGAAAATAAGGATGCCCAATCACAGGCTCTCCTGAAGGTAGCACCATGTTGAGACGTCCTCCTTCCTGGTCCCAACGTCCAACTCGCGTTGGTCGAGCTTGCCGAGGATCGCTATCGAAGATGTCCCAAAGAGCCGCTGCCGCCCGAAGGTGTTGTGCTCGTCGGTGAAGGTCCTCACCAGGTTCAGGCTCTGGATCAGGCTCCGGGCGATCCCGAGGTCGCGAAGCCCTCGCGTCCACCTGTGCGCGAAGCTGCGGGGTGAAGATGTCGTAGGGTCGCGGACCTCTAGGCGGGGATCGGGATCGGTCCCGCGCTGTCTCCTCCGTGGTTGAAGTCACCGTCCAAGGTGAAGACAACCTGGAAGGATCGCACGGTGTAGGCCGCCACGAAGCCCCAGGCAAAGCTCCGCTGCCAATGCAACGGGATAGGTCCTAAACAACGAGGGGACCCAACCGCAAAAACCTATGGCGCGCTCCACAAAGGGGCCGAAAGCACACGAAGGCCGTACCGAACGGCCTAGCACCTTTTCGAGGCGAGCCGGGGCTCAAGCGCTGCGGGGAAAACAGTGCATGTCGCACATGAGACAAATCATATGCCGTCGCAGCTCCCTAAAAAACACCGTGGTTGTGGATTCTGAAGCTGTGAGATGATGTGAGATGTGTGACCTGAAGCTGCAGATTTGTGGAAGCCCTAAGATTTGTGCCCAAACAGTGCACTTTTCCTTCTAGACAGCTAACTGCTAAACTATTCCAGGGTCGATCGCATCAAACCCACCACTTGGATTATTTTTGTCGTTGGTGGCTCTCATTGCTTGCGGTGTGGACTGAAATAATTCCAGGGTGGGTTTGATGTGATAGACCCTAGAATAATTTAGCAGTTGGCTGTCTGCTGAACAGTGCCCTACAACAGGAGGCAAACTTGCCATTTTGGGGCACATATCTTGCGCAATCTACAGCTTCAGGTCACACGTCTCACAGCTTCAGGGTCCACAAGAAAGATGTGGCTGGGGCGCCTATGACCTAGGAGCCCTGATCTGACTGTTCCCAAGTTTGGTTTCTCGCTGTCCTGGAAGTCACAGGTTCTAGACAGCAGATTTAAGTCTAGGGCGGCTTTGATGTGATCACCCCTACGCACTGGGCGTTTTTCACAGTTCCACAGATCTGACAGCTCTCTTTTCTCGTGAGACCAGTTTTATTTGGTTGGGTCGCCTATGACCTGGCACCCCTGATCTGACGGTTCCTGCTCTGTGTCTACTCCCAAGTTTGGTTTCTGGGGCTGGCTTCTGGCGTGGCCTCGCCGTCCTGGAAGTCACGTGGGGAGTTGCTGATCTGAAAAGTTCAGCCGTTTTGCCGCGTGTTGGATCCCCTGACGCGACCGAGGAGGAATCAAAACGCAGAAGATCACTGTAGAAACTGAACCTGTGTTGTGGAACGCGTGTAAGATCACTTATAGACTGCAAGGCAGACACGGCTGTAAAATGCTGCAAATTATTCCTGAAAGGTGTTCACATCTGGAATAATTTTTGGCCAGGTGTAGGTCCACCTGGGGCCCCATCCACCCCGGGGCCCCAGGTGGGAGGCCCCATTTACACACACTGTGTTTTGGAGCGGTGGTCCCATTGATTCAAGATATTGATGAGCTGTTAAAATGAATACTCTGTATTTTGGAGTGGTGGTCCACTCATTCAAGATATAGATGAACTTCTAAAATGAATACTCTGTATTTTGGAGCGGTGGTCCACGGACTTTTTACTTATATAACACATCTGAACACATTCTTAGCGCGTTCTTAACACATATGTGTTAAAAATGTGTTCGCGTTTTGTTTCTTTACTTAACACATTTTAACATATTTTAACACATTTGTAACACATATGGGTTAAGAATGTGTTCAAAGTATGTTTGTATGTGTTCGGCTGTGGTCCAAGCAGTCAAGACCTTTGGCCCTCCTCTTTGCGCACTTTCTCGGACTCTCAGCCTGGAGACACGCCACAGGTTGTTTGTGAGACTGAGTCTCCGATGGTCCAGAAGGCCCCTGAGTCTGGGATGGTCGGGACGGTCCGCCAGCCTGGTAGTATCTCACAGGGAGCACTGTGATATGCCTCCTGTGGAAAATTGGTTCCTTCTCTAGGTTTGCCCTTGCGGTGGGCAGTGGGCCACCCACAGCTTTGTGTGTATGCTGTGTGTGTGGTTTTGTGGCGGTTGTCCATCCCTTCAATAAACACACATGTTTCCAATACGCGGTGCTCCGCGTACCTTTTTCCAAGCCTTTTAGTCGTTTGACTCATACTTGTGATTTCCCATATTTTTCAATGTACTTTTCAAGTTAGCTAAGTTACAAAAGTTATTACTAAGGTTTAAATTGTGTTAAGTTAACTATGATAACTTAATTATAAGTAATTCATATCTCCCAAAACTATACTAACTTAGTTATAAGTATCTTAACTTGGCGGTAGGCCACTGTAGTAGTGCTAGTACGAACGCTACAAGCGGAGCGGGCCCCGCGTAGAAGGCGTTGTCGTAGGCGTTGCAAGCGTCGTCGTCGTCGTCGTCGTCCTCCTCCTCCTCCTCAGTAGTAGTAGTAGTAGTAGTTGTTGTTGTTGTTGTAGTAATCGTCGTCGTCGTCGTCGTTGTTGGTGTATTAGTCGTACTTGTAGTAGCACTAGTATCAGTAGGACTAGTAGCGCTGGTACGAGTACTACAAGGGGAGCGGGCCCCGCTCCCCTGCGCCAGCCAGGCCATAGTCTCAAGACGCACTGCAATCTTTCAAGGACTATGGCTGACATTATCTTTTGGAAAGGCCAGCTTTTGTGTCATTGCTGCAAGCTCAGCAGGAGTCAGGTGATTCCATCTCTTTCAAAAGACGAGGGAAGACGCAGCAAAAAGAGTTGGTGTGAATGTGGGATTCTTCGTTTTGGGAGACAACATTGGGTTTGCGTTGTCTCACTGATTCATCGGGCCTGAGCTTCGGCGCTGGTGCCGCTGCAGGGTGCCGCAGCAAGGTGCAGGTGCGCTTGGGAGCTTTTGCGCAGGGTGCTGCTGCTGGCGCTGCGGAAAGGTCATTCTCCTATCTGGAGTCTACGCTGGCGCAATTGCCTAGATAGCGTGAGCTATTGGGTTTCCTGTTTCAAGTATAGGAAGAGCTGCGTGAGCTTCGGTGCTGGTGCCGCTGCAGGGTGCCGCTCCTGTGCGCGCTTGGGGCCGCTGCTGCGCGCTGGCGGCGTTGCTGCTGGTGCTGCCGGAAAAGTCTTTTTGCTATCACGAGCTTTTGGCTTTAGATGATCCCGTTTCGTGTCCAGGTCAAAGTTTGCTGGACGTTTTTGTTTCCAACTCAGACTTGCCTAGAATTGGCTGCAGAGGTTGTTGGCTGATGTGCCTGACATGGGACCGATCATTTGGAAGTTGAAGCCAAGGCGGAAGAGTTCAAGGTCCACAAAGCATTGCGTTTGCCAGGAAATCTTCACTTCAAGGTTCACTAGCGCTGCGCTTGCCAGGAAATTTGCGTGCCTGCCACGCAGGCTAAGACTCACACCGCGGAGCCACGCCAAGGCGATTTGCAGCAAGAGCATTTCCAAAGACGACGTCAAGATGCCAAAATGTAGGTTTCGCTCAAGACTTCGTCCGATTTCTGAAAACGAACCACATGTCCAAAAGTCACGGTTCACTGCGCCTGCCACGAAACCAGGGCACGCTGAAGACCACCACCATGATGAAAGCACGAGGTTGCCCTTGCGCCTGCCACGAAAAGTGATCTCCAAGTCAAAAACACCGGGAGCGCAGCCCTGAAGAGCGCCCGCGCTGGTCCACCAGACTCTGCGAGCCTGCGCAGTCGAAATGCATTTCGAAGATCTCGAGGTGAATGAATGCACTGTAAGTAGCAACAAATTAGCGGACAAGGGCGCGAGCACTTGCGATCAAGCACCCGTCCTCAACCCGTACCGGAGGAACCCCATAGTGCGGACACAATGCTTGGGTAAAAGAGTAATGGTGGCAAGAGCGATGCCAAACAAGACCTGCTGTGCAAGTGTAGATGCTCAATGAACCAGTTCATGTATAAGCGGTGTCCGAAAACATCAAAGAGTTGAAGATCGCTTATATTGTCCGCACTTTTCTCGCACGTGCCAACAAAGTTGGATAAAGTGCGCAGGTTCCAGGTTGTGTTTTGCATTTTTACGACACCTCGCTAAAAATCGAGTCATGGGTTGATTGATATCTTGATTGGGAAAGTATAACATTCCTGGCCCTTTGCATACCGGCTAGACATGCCTGAGAGAATGCACGCAAACACTTCCTAATGCAGATTGCAGATCGCACCAAAACGACACTGCCAGGACCCATTGGTTGGAAAACTCATTTGCTACGCTCCAGGTGAAGGCAGGTTTTGAGGGTTTTCAATTTGCAAAAACACAACATGTCAAAGGCTGAAGGTGTAAACAACACATGGTTTCATGTCATGTTTGACGTCAGTTTTCTGAACCTCCATGCCGTTTAGATACATATGCAGGCGATGATGCTTTTCAAACCTGTCGCAAACGGACCATCACAGCCCTTGACTCCTACATCATTGACGGCGTTGGGTTCTTACTTACTGAGTTTTTGTGAGCATTTTTGAGAATACACTATGAAAAATCAAGATTTATGCATCTTGAGAATACAGCCAAATGCGCTAGATGATAGAACGGGACCATACAGGACCTACGCGAAAGTCATCTAATGATTTTTCATTTTTTGAGTTTTACCGAAAGCATTGCAGTCAACTGCAGCAAAGGGAGGCAAAGGGTCCTTGCTGTGCTCACCAAACAAATCGTACGTCGCAATGTGGCCAGCTCATGCTTGTCTGAGACGTGCCCTGTGGAACCGGAGACTGCACGTTTGTTTGAGATGCATTGTTTGCACTTTGCCATTGTAGCGTGAAAATGTGTTGTCGTTTCATGGTCAGGAAGCAGGATGGATGATGAATGTCCTTCAAAGGAATCGATTGTGACCCCATATGTTATTTGCTAATCATCTAGTATCCAATTTGACAATGAGCAGATTCCTCTATAAGGGATGTCAACCGTCTATTTTTTTGTAGGGGTTTTGACCCACATCCATTTGTGTCAACTGAGCTACGGTACTACGAGACCCTTAAAACCCACGGCCAAAAGATGCCTGAAGGTCCCACGATCACGCTTGTCTTTGTTAGTGAGTTTTTCCCCTTGCATTTAACAAAAATAAGGAAGCAAGCTGAGAGTACTTGTTGGTACAGAAGCAACGGCTTGAATGAAAGCCTAGCGCCGAAGGAAAACGAATGCGACGCAACACATGTCAAACAATGCACAAGATGCAAAAAGCAAAGCGTTGGCTTGTGGGGAAGAGTGGAGGCTTGTATTCTTTCCTCCAATCTTGTGCTTGCAACGTTTCTCCGCGTGCACCAGAAACAATGCACTGAAAGCTTGCTCTTGTTGCTCAATGTATGAAGGAGTTTTGGAACTTGATGACAAAGGGTCAAGAAACATCTCATGCCACGCTTACTGTCAACAGCACACTTCCGGTCCTGAACAATTCTGCTCGCTGCAACTCCATCCTAGCCACCCGTGTGCAAAAAGGACAGCGCTTGACGCACATTCGTTGCTCGCTGCTAGCTCATGTTCGGCATTGATGTGACAAGAGACAAGATGTTGAATAACATGTATGATGATGTATGATGCAATATATATATATATATCCTCTATGAAATCATGGGGTCCACGGCCGGCATATTTTGATTCACAGTATATCAAGTATATGTGTGGATTCGGGGGGTCAGGACCCTGATTTTATAGAGAGACAGGGTCAGAATTAGGAGAAAGGGACACTTGGGGGGGCACTTCCTTTACGTAGCGGTGGTGTTGGGGATGCTTGTTTTGGCCCTGTGCTTTCTTAGCGTCTTAGCACCCCTGGAAGGATTCATCCCTGCCTCTCCCCTCCCGTTAAGGGGCCACACCTCCCCATTAAACGGCCCGTAGGTTAAAGCGAACTAGCGCCCCAGGAGACTGTCTGTACTGTATCCAGATCTCCCGCCTTCTTCCACCGCCTGGCCTCGGATCGGCAGGAACCAAGGCGGGGCGCCGCCTCGATCTGCCGCTGGCCTCCTCTGAGGGCCATTGCAACTCTTCACAATCTTCACCAACTGGGTAGCCACTCCCATTCAACCTGTTTGGAAACTATGTTCTGGAAAGGCCAAAGAGGCCTTGCTCACACAGGCGGGGATGCCCGGAGAGCAGATGGATGGAGCAGCACCGGCCAGTCACTCAGTCCGTTCTGCAGGTGCTCGCGCCGGGCACGTCGCCCCGGTGGCTGGGCACTATGACCTCTCCTGCTATCCGGACCCGCTGACTTAGGCACCCAAGGCCTCAAGGCATTAGAAGGACATGCTCGAGGCCTTCGTTCCGAACTGATGAGAAAGCTCGAACTTGTGGCACAGGAGAAGCCATTCAACGGGGATCTTGAAGGCAGGACGGCAAGCCGCCGAGGAGATCAAGGTATTGCACAAGGCGAGCGTGAAGGGGTATCCCGGCAAGGGCAAAGGGAAATCAAAGGAATGGCGAGGCCGACAGGAGAAGGATTTGCCGCGCCAAAGCCTCAGAAGGTGCAGGTGTATTGTAAACTGGCGCGTGAGTTGTTTGAGCGGGGACAGTCCACCCTCCGGGAGCTGCAGGTGGTGTGTGGAGGTTTCATTTACATCTGTATGTTCCGGGCGTTGCTGCGCGAGCTAAATGAGGTCTTCAGGCACATGCTGAACTTTGAACATGACACACCAGCGGTACGACTGCCTCTTCCGCGGAGGGTCATGGTAGAGCTAGCTCGTATGATCTTGCTGAGTCTGGAACAGAAGGACTTCAGGGTTGCGTTGGATGGGGCGGTGAGCTTCCACTCAGACTCAGGGTGGCGGCATTTGCTCCTGCAGAGGGGTGACGGATTATGGCCGAGCGGGGCTCAATGCTAAAGTGCGAGGTGACATCCCCGAGGCACAGGATTTAGTTCAGGCGTTGACTGTGGGCTTTCCGATGGAATTGGAGCTCTTCGAGTTGCGTGCGACATTCTGGGCTTACCTATGGCAGTGCATATCAGCGTTGTAAAGGATCCGCAGGGTTGTTGAAAGCTTCTTCCCCGACACTGAATTTTTTGACGACGTTGTTGCCTTTGGAAAGGAGCAAGTTCGTGAGTTAGCGCTGGGTCTTGTCTTGGTAGGAGCAGGCCCCCCATGTCAGGGGGTGAGCGGCCTCAACGCAGACGAACGCAACAGCCTTTTTCTTCACGCCCCCCGAATCGCCAAGATTTTGCAATTCATTGAGAATGTAGCGTCCATGAACGGTGAGGACCGGCAGGTGATGAGTGAGGCTTTTGAATTGATCCCTTATCGGATCGCTGTTGGAATCTCCCTATGTTCTTGACCTCGTCTGTATTGGGTTACGTGGCCCTTGACTCGCGGGAAGGTGTTGAGGTTGAGGTAGATGGCGGGGCCTCGGGTTGAGCCAGGGCATTTTTTGGAGCGAGGATGGTCTCTACGAGAGGGCTGCAACCTCCCCACATTCGCTACATCAGCCGGCCGAAGACCTGCAAGCATGGATTCCTGTTCCCCCCATGAATTGCTCCGATGAATCCAGAGCGATTTCCGATTCCCCCCTTGCAGTATAAAGACACCCATGGTTTGTGGAACAAGAAGGGCTTGTGGTGAAGGGCCAGTGTGTCCGAGCGTGAGTGGGATTTCCATTAGACTGCACGAAGCACTGCGGCCAGAAGTATGAAGACGATAGGCTGACTTTGTTGGGCAATTCATGGCGTGTGGGAGTTGTCGCTTGGCTGACTTTGCAGTTGGTTGTCCCTTTGGGGCAGGGTGGAATTAGTTTCTACCGCGTTCTTATGAGGCCCCCCTACCGGGACGCCAAGCAATTCACTCGGAGACACCATGGACCTCGATCGCAAGGATGATGGGATTTACCACTGCCAAAGGAGGACTTGTTGGTACACGCGGGCCCACTGCCTAAACATTGCCGCCTGCGAGCTAGTATTTGGACGCCTCTGGCGGCGGAAAGAAGTGAGCGGATGGACTTGGAAGCACGCGGGGGATCACATAAGCCTCCTGGAGATGAGGGCTATATTGACGAGCAGACGCTGGAAGATTCTTCGCGGACGACTTCGCGTCCGTTTCTGCGTTTGACAGACAGCCTTGTGTGTCTGCGCGACCTCACTCGTGATCGCAGCTCTGGCCGAAAGTTGCGTTCTACTACCTTCTGGGGATACATCCATACCTCACAGAACCCGGCCGATCGGCCTTGCCGGCGGCCACAGCGGCGCAAGATGGGTAAATTAAAAAGAGGCTAGACAACCGATGGGGAGCTTACATTCACTCACAATTTCCAGTAAAACGCACGCGTTATGACGCGGCCCGGCAGAAGTTTTATCAGTGGATCGCGGATAATGACCCCTCACTACCTAGAAAGTCAGAGCAACTTGATGGGCTCCTGGCCGGCGGCCGAATATGTTGAATACCTGAATACTTGCTTGCGACACCGTTGCTGGGTTGGAGATTACCACCTCACCTGGAGAATACTTCGAACATGGAGCACAAATCAAATCCCCAACGGGACCCCCCGAGTGCCACGGTAGGATGGGCTTTTTCCATAGGCATTTTAGCTTCGGAGTTTCCTTGCTGGTTGCATACTATCCCATGCTTCGCACTGGGGAAGTTCTACACCTCAAGAATTCTCACATCTACATGGCTGGACCAAAGCAACCTGCAGCCATATCTTTGGGAATGAGCCGGGGAGGCCGACGCATGGGAGCGCCTGAAAATGCTACACTGTGTACCGGAGACGCCTTGAAGTGGCTACGCGAGTGGAAAACCTCTCATTCTGCTCGTGCCAGTTTGTGTCCCGCTACCTCCACGCAGAGACGGTGCCGCACTTTGGCTTTTGCATCACGGAAACCTAGATTCATTGATGATGGCCGGCCGTTGGCAGGCTCTAAAATTCTAAAACCGCCGAATCTACATTAATGAAGGACTCTCCGTCCTGGCCGAACTTCATTTGCCCCGAGCTAAACCACGACCGTTCACCCAGTGTTTCATTCAGGCATATGGCCGCAACACTTGAGCGCGAGGGGGGCGCGGAATGGGGCAGCTGAGCCAATTTTCCTCGAATTTTGAAGACTAGAAAGGATCATAGACTGAGCGCGTCAGCTTTAAAATATAGAGAATCTAGGGGTCGCACCCTGCACTTTATGCCTGCAAAATGGCGACCAGGACCCCCCCTGTGGTATTGCAAAATACCTTGAATAACAATTTTTTGTGGACCTGGCAGCTGCAGGCCTAAGCCCTCCAACAGCCGTCAAAAACAGACATGCGACGCTTGTCTCAAAGGGGGGCGCTCCTTTGGTTTACCCGTTGATTGGGTCCCCTACCTCTTTGGAGGTGCCACATGAAACATGGTCCACGCAGTCGACCACCACTGTGTTTCGCCCTGGCACCACGAACCACAGCCCACTTCTTTGCTTGTTTGTGACCTTGCGTTCAATTCACATCCACATCATTTGGTTCTCGGTTTGTTCATCGTTGTCCTCAATCCCGTTTGATTTGTTGCAAATCGTTTTTGCTTGACGACCTTCTACCTTGACCTTCTTAGTTTTTGATGCCTGCGGTCTTCATTCTAGCGGCATGAGGAAGCTGTGCAGGATCGAAAACGTGCCCATTTCATTGTCACGCAAGCTCAACCTGCTTCAGGGGTTGCGAGCCAGAAAATGCCTAACGCAGACAGAGTCACATGTTCAGGGTGCGTTTAAGACCAAGTTACACAGGCTGTTGAAATACGCCCACACATGAAAGTCTTGTTTGTCGGGACTTTTATTTTGCATCTGAAGGTGAACACCAACAAGCCGACGTTGAGGGGGATCCTTCACCATCCTGAGTTCATCAACAACGAGGCCATCGCTGCAAAGTGCCTCGCACAAAGCAACCTTGCCTCAGTTACTCGTAAGGTTTGATTTGCAGGTTTTGCTTTCATTCATGGCTCGGCATGGGGCTACTTTGGCTGGTGGCATCAGTGTGCCTGTGGCAAAAGGCAGGGGAGGAGTTCCATCAACAAGCCAGTTCTATGTTTGCAGGGTTGGCAATCTACTAGTAGGAGGATATTTTCGTGGCTTGTCGAAATCAGGGTTCTTGAAACTACGTCGTGACTTGCAGCCGATTCAAAACCAAGTGGTATTGTGTTTGGTTGCCAATGCGATCCAATGGGAAACTGTTAGCAGTGCACTTGAAGCAACACATCCACGAATGCAGTTCACTAGGCTGGTGCCTTTGCGGGAATTGTGGGCTCATGAGAGACAGGGAGGGAGGGAGGGAGGGCGACCAAGGAATTATACAGATCTGTAAAAAGCGCCAAGTCAAATCGAATACAGGATAGAAATGTTTGCTTGGATTGTCTTGGATTTGGAGCTTTGCAAGTGATTCACATGCTGTTATTTGATAGCAGTAACATACTGTAACATGTTAACGGACTGATGCAAAGCCAGAATCAAACAATAGCAGCAGTAGCTGTAGAAATTAGCTTTGTCACTCTGGACTCTGGTAAGACTACCGAGTGCTAGCGCAGGCGAGATGAAGCCAGTCGCTGGCTTAGACCACTGGAGCAATTTGGTCACAAGATAGAACTATGGAATAACTTAGACAAACTCGTAAACCAAAAGACCTGAATGAATTCAGTCTTAGCTCAAGAAGGAATCAGGTTTTGAATGGTTTGGAATTATCTTAATCATACGTGGCTGGCACCAGTGGGTGCTTGTGACATGTATATTGCTATACTGTTAGTGGGCTGTTTGACATTCCTTTAATTTCATTTCCATGATCATACTAGATCATAAATGGCATGCTTGGAGGCTGCTCTTCGGCGCCAGAAGCTGCCCGTGATGTCGCCTTTGGAGGCTACAGTTATCCGCAGCTGCGTTGCCGAGGGCGCAGAGGCAAGGGAGCGCCACACAATCACAGCCAATCTCATGCACACGTGTTCATCGCTGTCTCATGGCGGCTCCAATTTGGTGCAGTCCTTGACGTATATTGTATAATTATATACTGTAGATCAAAGACTCCTTGGTGCAGATGGGAGAAACATGGAAAAACTAAGAAGCAATAGCCGTGTAAAGTGTGCAATGTAGCTGTACGCTGCAGGTGGAGGAGGGTCAATTGCTGGTGCTCCTATCTGCAATGAAGTTGGAGACTGAGGCCGCTGTTGGAATGGAGCAGAGGCTCAGTCATGGTAGAATCTTGGGGCTCCGCATTGTGAATCAAATAAGGGGCGAATGAAACAAATGAAGCATCCGGATCATCCGGCTTTGATTGGCATGCAGAGGTTGATCCGCGTGCCAGACTGCAAGCAACATGCCATAGCACAGCACGATCATGTTGTCCATGTTGTGTGCTTGTCCAATTACTGTAGAAATATAGTTTGGGATGCTATGAGATCACTGAACCTAGGACAGCTTCATGACCCGTTAAAGTTAAAATTGTTAGGTCCTTGGCCTTGATCTTTCCTGGCATGTTCCGAGATTGTATCGTTGTGCCAGGTGCGTGCTCCTCATGCTGGCACAGCTCCTGCCTTGTAATTGTTTGAGGCCAATTTCACAGACAAGCCGCCACGAACACTTGAGGTCTTGAAAGTGGCAGTGACAGAGAACCAAACGGTTGGCTCCGGAGAAGACTTAGTCGCCACTTTGGATGCAGACAGCCATATGTGCAGGGAACAGGACTCATATGTGGGGACATAGAACTAGTTTAGGTCATTCTGCCGAGGTGTTGGATGCATTGGTCCCGGAAGAAGGTGAGGGTGCAGCTTCGGCGACATCCGCTGCAGCAGCTGCCAACCGAATCCGCCAAGGTAGTGGCGGGCAACTCTCGAACCATCCAAAGATGTGCTGACTCGTGCTTTGCGCAGGCAGTTTGACAAGTGTGGATGGCTCAGCTGTTTGGTATGGCAAGACCAGTGGCTCCTTGGCGGAAGCCATGACGACTCACAGGAAAAGACAATGTACAATGTTGTGTGCTGTTGTGTGCTTGCAATTGCTCATACACTGACATAAAATGTTCTTTTAAAACTTTTAAACGGCTGGTCTTTTTTGACACCCAAAACAGCGTCGGTCATGGTTGTCATGAGGCACTGCTTTGTTGCATCAGCAGTGTTGCTTTCTATGCAGAATCATGGAGTTCTTGCTGCATCCCCGCGGTTTGCATTTAACAACCTTGCGCAGCTGAGTCATTTTACTCTTCAGATTTCTTCCAGTTTCTTTTGGAGTTGCTATGAGTCACTGCCACTGCCCTCTTTGGACGGTGTTTCTTGATAAGGTGTTTGACATGGGTCCGCCGTATGTTTGAGATTAGTCTTGACAAGGCTCGCATAGGCAGTTGCGGGTAAACACTAGGCAGCTTCTCAAAAAGAATAAAAACAAACCCAACATCCAGCTAATTACATCCAATTATATACTAAGGAGCCAACATCCAATCAAGTTATACTTTGTTGTTTAAGAGTCAAGCTATGGAGGGATAGATGGCCTGTGCTTCCTTGATTTCTTTCTGGTTTCAAAGGCGCTGGGTTCTCCATCTTTTGTGCCCTAGCACTCTTGCCAGACTTTCGGAAAATCTGAAGATGTCAGTCATGCGATAGGAAGCTTTGGTGCAAACTGCAAACAACCTGCCAAGATGAAGTGCCAAACTTTGGCAAAATCTGAGCCCGCTACAAAACGTGTCGCAAGGAGAATGTATCTTCATGTACCTTTAGTCTTTTGGAAGCTTTGCAGTGCCCAAACCAATCCTGCTGTCATCTCCCGTCAACAAATGGAAAGATGCCATGGGGGCTAAAGGCTGTATGTGTTCTTCCTAAGCTAGATCACAGCTCACCCAGGGGGTGCATGGTTCAACTGTGCTTTTCGGTTACAGCACTCTCGCCCTTTCCGCCGGTGCTTTTTGTCCTGCGGCAAAGCGCATTAGGATGTCAAATAGCAACGCTTGCTCCCCTGGAGCTGCTTGGTCTTGCCTCATCAGTATCGACGCAGAGATTGCAAACAATGGGAGCTGTGTTGGCTCTAAAATGCCCAGAAGGAATTTGCTTTGAACATTTTGGCTTTGTCAACATGCTGTCAATCCAATCAAGGTAGCGTGCGCTACCAAGATCTTCTTTTGGTGAAGGTTGTTGTGGCAGAAGATTTCCCAATCTGCGACTACGCTTGTAAGTAAGTAAAGACTCTGTCCAGGGCCCAACCAAATCCCCGAGTAAAGCATTCCATTGGCACGCGACAATATGTAACTGACAGAATGGCCCGAAGCTTCTACAGACGACCAATGACATCCTAACAATGTGCTTTGCTGTTCAGTTGACCTCAAGAAGCATCCCCCCTCCAACAATGATGATGCTATTCCCTTGTGAGCATCCACCCGTCCATGTGGGCGTTCTTCGCATGGCCATGCTGTAGACTGTGGAGCACAGTACCAGTAGCAAGGAAAGTTCCAAAAGTTCCTGAGTTAGTGTCGAGCATTGGCCAAAGCAAAACATTCAGACCTGGGAACCATTTGCAAACCTGGTGTTTTCTTTTTGCTGTGGCAGCCTAAATTGGCTGGGTGGGAAAGGGTGCCGTCGCCGTCAGATGATCATCGCTTCGTTCAGGATGAGTTGTTTGCTAGTGGAGGTCCGAGCAAGGGCATGTGTAAGCTGTCCACGGCTACGCTCAAGGCCCACGCACGTAAGCCCCCCGAATCGAGCCCTTTGCAAGAAAGGCATCGAACAACACATGTTTCAAGCTTCAACTGCAATCACAATTTGCATATAAACAGAATGCAATTATAAAAAATGTGTGTATATATAATGTGTGTGGTTCCTGCTCAAGTTGCAAAAGTATCGCCCAAAGCCGTTTGCTTTGTGAGGTGTGAAGCCATGCGAGGGCCCCACCAGCAGCAGTATTCGCCTCCCCCCACCTCGGCACCAGGATGAGGCAGAGCAGGGGGACGCAAAGGTGCTAGCAATGACGTTTGGTGATTGCCATGCAATTGTATGTGGGCTCAGGGCTCCAAAAAGTTCTATATGCCTGTCATTTTATGTATGTGGGTTGCCAAATTCAATCAGAGGTCGCCCAAGCGCAGCAGTTTTTCCTTCAGAACCTTCAGGCATACATCCAGCGCAAGACGCACCACAGCCAATTGTTGGAAGAGCTGCAAAGCCGTTTGGATACTGCACGTGCTGGTGGAGGCTAAAGCGGGTTCCTTGTGTCCTCGAAACTGTTTCACCCAAACAAGCTCCCATCTATATAGACGCTAGAGATTGCATGCTGATTCTCTTCTGGTAGGCGCTAAAGCCGTTGAGCAGCACCACGCGCGCGGGAAGGCAAGGGTTGAACAGCTGCCATTAAAACAACATGCCGCGTGTGTTAGGAAGTGGAAGTGGAGTCTTCTGTGTTTTGCCTCCCGGAAGAGATATTTCAGTTGCAATTGTGTTTGTTCCCCCACTAGATCTCCGCAGGGCCCATGATGACTCACTATAAATGAGCCTTGTGTGGTGTTACCGGGAATCATCATTTGTAAACCACAATTTGCACATAGCAACCAACTTAAAGATATTGTTTGGTCTAGACAAGTAAGAGCAGTCAGAGCGGGCGCAGAAGCAACATGCGTGTTCAAAATCATGTTCCAAGGCCTGCATTGCTGCTTCTGTAGTCTGTACCAATTTGTTCTGCGTGCACCCCTTGTAATGTTTTTGTCTTTCTCTTGGTGAGTCAACTGGCCCCGGCACGCTTCCGATCAGCAAGCAGTACCACACAAAAGCCCTGAACGGCCCTAAGTCACGACCGGCGTCAAAGCCAAAGCAAAATTTGAGCATTGCCCGCAATGCCAGCAAAAGTTCTCACGCAAGCGAGCCCTTTGTCCTCAATAGGTTTCTGCTTCGCAGTCGCTGAAAAACCGCCTTCTTCCATCATGGCAAATCAGAGGCAAGCCCGTTTGAGAGGTTCTAGCCCGCTCCAGCCAAGCAATGGTCCCACAGTTCTTGAGAGTGAGAGAAACCGGACTCAAACCCGAGAGGGCCCACCAGCTTGATGTAGAAAGCCAGGCCCCACGCAATCTTTGGAGCTGTAGAAACCGCCCTCCAAAAAAGAAGAGCATGTAAAGGCACAGCCTGGTGCCTTTGCAGCATAGAATCATAGAACAGCACACCAACGCTGCAGCTGAGCTTTCTTGATCTCCAGGTTCCAACCAAGTGCAACTGACCACCTGGTGTCCTAAGCGGCCAAGAGAGTGTATTTTGTCTCTCTATTGGCCAAACTTGAGAAAGAGCTCGTATGAGCAAAGTTCAAGGTGGTTCCAGAAATGCATTAACACTTTACGATCTAGCTAGTACAAGAACGACCTCTTCAACCTGTAACAGCCCTGAGCAAACGGAAAGGCGAAAGGTCGGCCACAATATGGTTTAAATCACAAGGCGTGCACGCAGGTACGTCAGCAAGCATCCTGATATCAGCGCAGCCTGCAGAGCCTCATTGTTCGATGCCCTCTCTTCAGGTGTGGGGCATCCCCCTGCTACTGCCAAGCAGTTGTGACTCAGTGAAAGATCTCATCATAACTTAGAAAGTGTAGGTCCCTGGAGACGGGTGTTGACACACACTCGAGATATTGAATGCCACATGCCACACGCCCACCTAGGTGTGAAAGCCTAAGGGTGTCAGGTTAAAGGTATGCAATGTACGGCGGCATGACCATGAACCTGAAAGTCTTCACATTCCAAAGGCAAGAACTCGTAGAAGTCGACGAGCGAACGAGCGGCGAGCACTCGTCTGCAGAATTCATTGGCCCTTTACTGCAGAACTCATTAGCCCTTTACTGGAGAGTGGAGTCACAGCTTGGCCAACAGCTCAAAAAAGAGAGCAGGTACGTCTGGAAAGCGTCCTTTCCCGATATCAGCCAGAATTGCAGCTCTCTTTGTTGGGCAATCAACTGCAATGTGGGATTGCCCCCTGCTAGTAAAAATTCAAAGGCCAGGGCCCCCTGTCATTCCAAGGGCTGCACACACACACACACTTGTAGAAATGCATACAAATCCGAGGTACTTGCCGCTGCATTGGACGCTTACTGCACAACAAAGAATGAGACAGCTTGGCACTTATGTAAGTTTATCTCAAAGCAGGTACGTCACGGTGATCAGCAACGATATCCGCATGTACTGTGGCCGCTTCGTTGGACCATCGCGCACAGTACATGGATGGTCCCCCTGCATTAAAACCGTCAACGAAACAATCCAAACTAGACGAAGGTTGGCCCGAGAGCGAGACAGGTGGTTGTCAAGCACTTCCGAGTAAGGAAATAGTTAAAATCGAGTTGTCCAAGAGCCATGACATCTTTATATTAAGAGAAAAGATATGTAGAAAGAGAGAAAGAGAGGGCGGATGTGAAGGAGTGACAGTGTGGATGTGCAGGTGTGATATAGATGTGCAGATGCGTGGGTGTGTGAAGGTAGAGAGGTAGATCTGCGGATGTGAGCGTGTGAAGATGTAAATGTACAGAGGTGAGGGTGTGTAGGCGCCGTTGCGCAGATGCAACGGCAGCGCAACGTTGTGGGTCTGGAGCGCCAACCTTGGTGCATTTCTCGCTGCGCTAGCACAACGCTGAAGAGGTTCGAATCTCTATAGCACACCAGCGACACGCCGCGTTTACACCAGCGTGTTTCGCGCTCCCCAGTGCCACGGCGCCACGCAAACGCACTTTCCACCAAGGCCGCACAAATCCACATGGCGCTGCGACATCACGAACGTAATTTTGCCATGCGTTCTGCACACACCGCCAATCATCCCGCTCACCAGCGACGCGCCGGCGCCACGCAAACGCACTTCCAACCAAGACCTCGCAAATCCGCGTGGCACTGCGACATCACGAACGTAATTCGCCACACGGTCTGCCTACACACTAGAAGCAATCATATCACACGATACCGCCAATCATCCCGCTCACCAGCGACACGCCGCGTTTACACCAGCGTGTTTCGCGCTCCCCAGTGGCACGGTGCCACGCAACCACCCCCGCCGCGTCAATCCGAATGGCGCTGCGACATCACGAACGTAATTCGCCACACGGTCTGCCCACACACTAGAAGCAATCCTGTCACATGATACTGCCAATCATCCCGCTCACCAGCGACACGCCGCGTTTGCACCAGCATGTCTCGTGCTCCCCAGTGGCGCCACGCAAACGCACTTTCCACCAAGGCCGCGCAAATCCGCGTGGCGCTGCGACATCACGGACGCGATTCGCCACACCCCTCGACACGCACGATCTCCGCAGAGGGTTGCGCGCGACCAATCCAAAACGCAATCTCACCTGCATTTCGCGCCTTCGACACGCACGATCTCCGCAGAGGGTTGCGCCGGACAAATCAAAAACGCAATCTCACCTGCATTTCGCGCCCTCGACGCGCGCGATCTCCGCAGAGGGTTGCGCGCGCCAAATCCAAAACGCCATCTCACCTGCTTTTCGCGCCCTCGACACGCACGATCTTCGGAGAGGGTTGCGTTTCGTGGTGCTCCGGCGGCACCGCCCCCGGCCTTAAGAGAGAAAGAAAAGAAGAGCGACAGGATACGCAGATGTGAGATGCGCAGATGTGAAGATGTAGATGCGCAGATGTGAAGATGCGCCGACGTCGATGTACAGATCTGAAGATGCGCAGATGTGAAGATGTGAAGATGAGCAGAGATGTAGATGTGATGTAGATGTGCAGATGTGAAGCTGTGAAGATGTAGATGAGACGTAGTTCTACAGATGCATTTTTACGAAAAACCCTTCGCAGACGCTCTCGGGATCAGGACGCCTGTGATTCCAAGGGGTACACACACACCACACACACACACACCCGCCCCCCCGAGTGGAGGCGAAAAACTCTAAGGCCCAGACGAATGCGGAAGTGTGCGCGCAGCAAGACAAACGAAAGAAGACATGAAAAGAGGACAAGACGGGGCAAAGGTGTGCGTGGTTGCGATGAAAGGGAACCAAGTGCACAGGGACAACCGATGAAAACCCGCCTAATTGTAAAGACCTGGGCGACCTGAAACCTAGGTTGAAAGTAGGTTGCGCACACGTACATGCTAAGTGCCGGGCCATGTGTGCGCAAAAGAAGAAAAGAGATGAGATGACCAGACACGAAGAAAGGAAGACGCGAAACGAAAGAGGAAAAGACGGTGTGTCAAGGGGAAAATGAAAGGGAAACCAAATGAAGGAGACAGGAAACAATGAGACCAAACCTCATTAGGGGACCTAGGCATACCTCGCCTCGTTTTAAGTGTATATGCTGTGTGTGCGCACCTAAGAGTGCGACAGGTTCCAAGGAACCTAAAAGTACTACGGTCGCTCTGACCACGTGGCGGCGTTAAGCTAGCTTGGACAACTGCGGTCACATAATGGCATAGAGCCAGCTTGGAATTCAATCATTCGTCAAGTCTTGGCAAATATCTTTGGCAGAAGCCTCCTACGCTCGCTGCAAGCTGCTCCGTATCCGGGCAGGGGATACGTTCGACAAACCCCCGCTCTGCGGGGTCACCCTGGGCTGGCATGAAGCCAGACACACTTATAGAAATGCATACTGATTTGGTTGTGGTTTGCCACACGACACGCCAGCCTAAGTGAAAACCTAAGCAACCAGGGGGGTATGTGTAAAACGAACCATCCTCAAACCTGCAAAGGCCTCCAAAGCTCTCGAAACAAGTTCAGGTCTCAAGCTCATGAAAATCCGAGGTACTTGCCGCTGCATTGGACGCTTACTGCACAACAAAGAATGAGACAGCTTGGCACTTACGTAGGTTTATCTCAAAGCAGGTACGTCACGGTGATCAGCCGTGATATCCGCATGTACTGCGGCCGCTTCGTTGGACCATCGCGCACAGTACATGGATGGTCCCCCTGCATTAAAACCGTCAACGAAACAATCCAAAAAGGATCCCTGTGATTCCAAGGGGTACACACACACTCTGACATTGGTTTTCAGTTACACTCAGTTCCCACGTTGAG